TTTTTTAAATCCCCAAAACGTCTGGGAGAGAGGACTGTCCTTGAAAAAAAATTTCCGCTTGGATGCAGATAAAGGCGGGTCGGGGGAGTCCAGATGTGGCCAATGTGGAGAAAGCATGCGATTTCCAAGCCAGGCCCTCTGGGTGACAAAACCCATCAGGGGTTGCCCTTTGGGTGCCAGAAGGAGGTGTAGACAGTGACACTGGAACCCGGGGAGCTGCCTCGTGCTTCACAATCCCTCTGGCAAGTTACACCCAAGCATTTCCTCTCCTCACATAAACATCGGATCGGGCAAGGATCCAAGGGGGCGCGCTTGCCACACTTTGAAGATGAAGTCTGATAGGCATCCGGGGCTGTCTTCCTCTTCCAGGCAGACAGAGGACCTGGCCTGTCTTGTACAGAATTTACAGCTCGACCACTCCTCAGAGACCTAAATCTGAAGCCCACTGGGAGGATATCCAACAACGACTTCCTGTTTCCATTTTCCCAACGTGGGCTAAAGATCTCTGGTCTTCAGTCCCAGGGGGGCTGGTGAGTGACAGACAGGGCTTCCTGGGGTGGGTGCGTCGCAGGAGGAGGGTGTAGAAGAGCAGAAACCCATCCCTTCGGGGATATTCTGGGGAGGAGGGTGCAGGCTTTTTTCTGTGCCGGCCACGCTTTTCTTTTTGTTTCCCTTACGTATCACACACTCCCCAGACCCAGGGCCTTTGCACATGCTACTCTGCCTTAAATGTTACCTCCCAGCACAGCTTGATTTAGATACGTCCACAAAGGCTTCAGATCTCGGTGTTGACCTCGGTTCCTTAAAGAATCTCCTGATCAGGCGGCGGTTCCTCCTGTTTGCATCAAGAGAACACCTTGCACTTCTCCTTCGGAACACTCGTCTCCCTTCCAATGCCGTATTTACTACCCAGCTTTCTCATCGGGTGGCATCCCGTTCAAGGGCATCTGTTCTATTTCCTGTTGCATTATCAGCGCCCGAAATGCATGTGGTGGACTCTGAGCATACGTTTGTTGGATGAATGAATGAAAAATCAAAATCCGCAAGCGGAGGGATAGTTAATGACATGTGAAAACACCCACCTGTTAGAGAAACAACCAACAAATAGATGAAGCCGTACAAAACTATACGGGCAACATGAGACCCTTTTAGGGGCAAATGCCCTTAGGAAAATCCTGGGAACAAGATGGAAAGAGCTACAATAAGATGTTAACCGCGACGAACTCTGAATTCTTGGCTACGTGGGGAACTCTCCGCAATCCCCAAATTCTCTGACATGTACTTTTCTGCCTCCCAAATGAAAAAGATTTAAGTCCTTCAACAGACAGACTCCAAGAAGACGTGAGTTAACCTTGGGAAGGATTTGCTCGAGGTCAGAGCTGCTCTGGCAGAGGGAGCATCGGTCAGCGAGGGTGTGGGAGGAGAGCCGGGAGCCCGAGTGGTGGCCGCAGTGACGTCTCTGGTCCCCGGGTCACAGAGACTCTTCTCGACAGCAGGCCCCACGCGGTCGCTTCTGGCCAGGGCCCAGAGCCGAGGCCTCCACCGGGGAGCACGGGGCACACCCAAGGCGGGCTGTGTCCCCCAGAGCCTTCTGTCCACTAGCCATGCAGGTGCACCGCAGATGTGATTTCGGTCTTTCATGTGTGTATTCGGCGTGTTAGAACAAGACGCCATGGACGGGACGGTTTAGGCAGCAGACGTTTATTTCCCACAGCGCCGATGGCGGCAAGTCCAAAGTCAAGGTCCCAGCAGGTGCAGTGAGAGCCCCCTTCCTGGCTTGCCGACGGCCGGCCGCCTTCTTGCTGTCCTCACATGGCGGAGCGAGAACCATGGTCCGTCTTCCTCTTCTCCTAAAGGCACTAATCCCATCATGGGGGGCCCGCCCTCATGACTTCGTCTAAACCTAATTACTCCCAAAGGTTCTACCTCCTTATACCATCACATCGGGGTCTAGGGCTCCCACATATGAATTGGGTGGGGGGGGTGGGGGGGGGACACAACATCCCATCCATTACAACCTGCATTCGTACCTTCCCTGCAGGAGAAATCTCATGGGTGGACGCCATCCACCCCCCCAGACAGGAATACCTCCCAAGTACGTGACCTACAGACTCATTAACGTCTTCCTGCCTGTCTTCCCGGGGACACTGTCTTTGAGTTCAGTCATCAGCTTACCCCGTTCATTAACTCACTCATTCATTCATTGAGTAAAAGATAATATAAGGGGAAATGCTGTGGTCCTAGATTGTGAGGCCCCAGAGCAGGGCCATATCCTGGTCATCATTTTACTGCCCACCCCCCCCGCCCCCCGCCTCCTTCCTCGGGGCCTGAGGGCACACGAGGACCCCCACGGTGGGTGGGGGAGGGAGACAGAGCAGTCCTGGCCTGAGAAACAGCCTCACGCATCAATGGGCACACAGAGGCAGGGCTGGGACACAGGAGCAGAACCAGATAATGAGGGGCCCTGAACGCCGAGCCTCTGGCTCGGAGAGCAGTGGATTGCTCCTTCGAGCGGGGAGGTCCCTGGTCCGAATGAGTTTGGAAAGCGCCCTCTGGGAGCCCAGAGAAGGAAGGGCTGGAGAAGGGGGGACTCGCTCTTTGGGTCGTTCTCTGTGTCCGTCTCCTAGTGAGTGTTTGAACCCAGCACCACACAAAGCCTGGCCGGCAGCGGGCGCTCAGCAGAGGGGAGAAGAACGAGGCCCACCCAGGCGCCTCCTGTGTAGAGCCACGAACACCTGCCCCCATCAGGGTTGCCCCCCACTCTGCTTCCTGTGAAAGGGCACATCTTGGAGCACCTGGGAAGGGAGGCGGGAGGTCGGGCCCTGCTGGAGGGACACGCCGGGTCCGAGTCTTAAACGCTGTGTAGGGGTTTAGCCGAGCAGAGGGAGGAGGTGCCGGACCGGGCACCGAGGGGCTTCTGGAACGAAGGCCCGCGTGCAAGAACAGTGTGACGGAGATGCAGCCAGGAGCAAGTGCGCTTGTTGGAGGAAGGCCAGAGCTGAGGCCGAGGGACGCACAGGGCCCCATCAGGTGGCCACACGCACCCCGAGAAGGAGCAGGGGCTTTGTCTCGGTGGGGCCGGGGCACTGGGGCTGAGGGGGCCTTCCAGAAGGGTCCACGTTGATGGATTTGCAACGTGACTGGGCCCCCCGGGCGGTGGTGTGGAGGCAGAACAGAGATTAGGCTGTGGCAATGACCTGGGTAGGGGGGCCCGGGGGTGGAAAGGGGGGGGGCAAGGCCCCCCCCCCCCCCCCGGAAATTTAGGAAGCGGACTGGGAGGAGCAGGTGATGACGTAAGATGGTCGGGGGTGGGGGGAGGGGGCGTGTTCAAGGTGCTGCCGGCCCCAGGCCCCAGGCAGCTCTTAGATGTCCGCCATCAGCACTGTCGGTGTGAAAGGTGCCAGCAGGTGCGCCCGGGATGCACCTGTCGTCTCCAGGCTCCCTCCAGCCCCGCCCCTCCCTGCTCGGCTCAGGTGATGCTGGAGGGGGACCCTGCAAACTGTCTTGTCCACACTGTGGGCTCTGCTGTTGGGGCCTGGGAGGTGGTGGGAAGGGACCTCCTGTCCATTTCCCATTTGGGTCCACAGTGCCCGGCAGAGGTCAGGCCTGTAACCCCCAAGCCCCCCCTGCCCTCATTCTGCTGACTGCATCCCTTCCCCTCGGTGGTGGGGTGGGGGGGGAGGGTCCCCATCTCACACATTCACGATTCCCCGCAGGGTTTGGGGTTGTTCCCTAACCGGCCGTGACCTGCCAGTTAGAAGGGACCTTTGCGCACAGGTTCTGAGGTGAGTTGGGGCTCGGGAGGTGGGAGGTGACGACCAAGAATGTAGATGGCTCTTCTAGAAATTAGGAAGGGAGAGGAAAGGGAGGGATGCGTGGGGGTGGGTGGGGCAGGATCGTTCACATGTTGCCTGTTTTCTCATCTTCCGTTTGTTTTGAGGCAGGGAGAGTTGGTGCGGGGCGCGGACGTGCCAGCCTTGGGGCCCCCACGCCTCTCCCTCTGCCAGGGGCACCCCCCCAACACCTCACCCATCTGTTCAGTGCCACGCCCTCCGGCAGTCCCCAGCACCCGCCCCCTGCCCTGCTCTGCCCGGTCTCTCCCCTGTGGCACTTTCTCAGTGTTTCATGGGGGCCTGGCCCCTGGAATGGAACCCACCAAGGCAAGGATGTTTCTGTTTTGTTTATGCTGTGTTCCCAGCCCGCAGACGTGGTCTGGCACCCGTGGGTGCCCCACTGAGGTTTGTTGACCGAAGAGTCGGTGAAGAAATGAATGATGAGGGAGTGAGCTAATGGGGCCTCTGCCCTGGAGCAGTGGGGAGTCAGTGCTCTGGAGGGGCTGAGGGGTGGGGAGGAAGGGGTGTGGGGGCCAGGCAGAGGCTGCAGGGGAACTGGGAAGGGGGCTTTGAGACCACAGGGGCCGGCAGGGGGAGCGTGGGGGGAGTGGACAGAAGGGGGGGGTGGAAACAAAGGCGCAGGGGAGACAGACCCTTACACTGAGGGGGTGTTTGTATGGGGTGGTGGGAGCCTGGAGTAGAGGTGAAGTCCATTCCCAGAGGGCCTCAATGTCAAATCGAGGGGTTGAAATTAAGGGGTGTAGAACTACGGAGGTTTCTTTTTTTTTTTTTTTAGAAAATATTTTTTTTTTTTGTGTGTTGTTTTTTTTTTTTTTTTTTTTTTTTTTTGGGGTCTTGAGCGTACCGAAAACATGACCCAAAAAGTAGAGTTCCCAAATTCCCACTACCCGCCCCCCACCCCGCACCGATTTCTCCTCTGATTAATGCAGGGCATTGGCACCGTACGTTTGTTGCCACTGATGAACTAATGTTGATGCATTAACTCAAGTGCACAGGTCAAGCTTAGAGCCACTGTTGGTGTCGTACCTTCCAGGCGTCTGGCAGCCGGGTATGTATCACGTACCCACCACGACAGCATCCTACGGAGTATTCGCTGCCCTAAAGCTCCTCTGTGCTCCGTTCGTCCCGCCCCACCCCACCCCCTGGCACCCACTGACCTTTTTTCTGTTTCCGTGGTTCTGCACTTTCCAGAATGTCACATACTTGGAATCATACAGTAGTACCATTGAGGACTTCCGAATGGAGAGATTTTCGGAGGGCGGCTGGGGCAGTGGGCCATAGAAGGGACGGGAAAGGGAGAAGCTGGAGGCAAAGAGACTGATTAGGAGCTTGCTGGACAGTGCAGGTGACAAGAGCCTTGACGGGGGAGGCGCTGGAGTGGGAGGGGTGGGTGCAGCCGGTCTGATGGGAGGGGTGCAAGGCGGCGAGCTGTGGCTCTCCCCTCGCCCCAGATGCCTGGCCTGCGGGCCTGTTAGATAAAGGGGTGGGTGGTCACCGGGTCCTGGGAGGCTGCCGTGTTTGTTGAGAACCTACCGCATGCCAGGCCCCGGAGTGCACTGCCTCGTTTTGTTACCTTGTTTTACAGATGAGGAAACTGAGGCCCGGAGAGGCCCAGGAAGTTGCTCCCGCCCGCAAGTGAGTGAAGCCAGCATTCAACTTGCTGAGCCTGGGCCCACCCTCCGCGTACCGCAGCCCGGTCTGTCGTGGTCGGGCCTCAGCATGCGGGAGAGACAGTCACGGGGAGGGACAGCAGGGTGGGGGTTATGGGGCCCAAGGGAGAACCAAGAGTGAGTTCAGGCTTCCCTGCTCCCACAGCCACCCTGCATCTTGGCCACATGAAGGAGCCCTCCCCAGACGTTCACCCGGCCCTTCTGCGGGGGCCACCCCCCTGCCCCCTGTCCCCGTGCGCCCCCCGAATCGAGGCTGGCTCTGTCTTGCTGCAAGAAATAAAGCAATAATGACCCCTATGACGCTGGCTGCGGGGTGAGCGGCGGAAACGCGGCAGGTGGGGCCGGCAGAGGTGAGAACTGGGGGTCCCGGTCGAGATCCCTAGGCAGGGGCCTCCAGGTGAGCTCCCCAAACGCCACCCTTGGATGGGCCTTGTTCCCCTCCAGCGGGATAGCGTTTATTCTTCCCTCGGGAACAGTCACCAGGGCCGGGGGAACGTTGCGCAACGAGACTGCCAGCCAGGTCCCCTCCGCTCCTCCGTTTCTGTGACTCTTGCCAGTTTACCCACTGCTAATAACAGTAGGTCTGCTGTGCGGAGGGCCAACCTGTGCTGGCCTGCACCTCGCACAGTCATCACCTGCATTTCAGACCGGCGAAAACCGGGGGACTTGCCCGGAGTCACCTGGAGAGTCAGTGGAGCGATCAGGATCGGAACCCAGGGCCGTCCAAGGAAAGCACCCTTCCCCTCTGCCACGCGGTCATCCCTCGGCCACCCGGGAGCCCGTACACCCGAGGGGGCACCCTTCCAGTGTCGCTGGCCTGACACGTGCGGGCAGGACTTGAGTGTGTGTCTCCCCCCCGATCCAGAAAACCAGCCTGCCCGAGCTCCCCACCTAAGAGAGAAGGCTCTGAGGGTCCACCACAGACATCCACACGCACCCAGCACTCTTCCCTAAGTGCTTTCCACGGTCGATCTCATTTGAGCCTCAGGTCAACCATTATCCACTTTGAAGATGAGGCGTTCTAAAGGCCAAGCACCTGGCCCAAGACCACAGGACAACAGGAGGACGATGACCCAGGTCTGACTTCTCGTCCTGACCTCCTTCCACCCTACGCCACCAGCCCCGGGTGGGTCCCCTGGGGAGTGGTGTCCCAACAGAATGAGCTTCCGGAATCCCAGCTGGAGTGCAGCCTTGGCCGGGCTGTGGCCACACTGCCACCGGACAAGCCCAGGGACCCATCCCAACGCGACTCAGGTCCGTGCCGAGACGGCTGCAGTGACCAGTCGTGCAAAGGTGAGGGCACCGTCCGAGGCCCAGAGGGCTGGCTCCAGGGGTGGGGGCTGGGCTTTCTTCCCTCTCGTGGCGCCTGGGTTCCCCATCTGGCTTTCAGCTCCGAGTCAAAATGTGTCTGAGCTATAAACCTTTGAAGATGCAGGTTCTTAATGAAAACGCAGAGAGAAGCCAATTAGAGTGGCAGGAACAGTAATCACTATAATAAGGGTAATTGAGTTGGATTTATTATAGCTGACGACGGGATTCCCCCCCCCCCCGTAAGTGAAGAAAATAATTTACTGATATTAAAACATGATTTCAGTTTTCCTTCACACCCCTGGGAAATGGCATGGTTTCTGGAACTTCAGCTCAAATGTGAGGGTGGCAGAAAACAAGACAAAGCCACTTTCAGTGACTTCACTTCCTCGGGTGGATTCCTCTTGACGAAGGCACAGGCCAATGAACCCCGAGTTTGGGAGGCAGGGAGGTACGCAACGGGGTAGTCAGACCCTATCATTTACTAGCTGTGTGACTTAACCAGTCCCTCAGCCTCTTTGAGCCTTAGTTTCTTCATCTGTAGAACGGGATAATAATACTAACACTCCAGGGTTGTTGGGGAAATTAAATTAAGCTAAATTACATTAAATTTAATTAAATAAGGTATATAATACGTCTGGCAAGTGGTGGGCACTCAATAAATGTTAACAATCTTCCCTAATAGTAGGGAGCTATCCATGGAAAGAGCCCAGGGCTCTAAAAGGCCTGCCATGGCCCTTTGGCTTTTTTAACAAGATAAAAATTTCTTTTTCTGTCATGTAAACTTCTACAGGCAAGCAGCCCTGGGCTGACTGAGTGATGTCACAATCTGCAGGGATATAGTCCCCATCTTTCTTACCGTCTTCGCCACCCTTGCAGGATGCTCTCGCCTCCTGGCCCAACATGGCTGCCAAGCTCCAGCCACATGTCTTATTTCCAGCTTAGGGGCGCCTGGGTGGCTTAGTCGGTTAAGCATCTGACTTCGGCTCAGGTCATGGTCTCGCGGTCCGTGAGTCCGAGCCCCACGTCGGGCTCTGGGCTGACAGCTCGGAGCCCGGAGCCTGCTTCAGATTCTGTGCCTCCCTCTCTCTGCCCCTCCCCTGCTCACTCTCTCTCTCTCTCTCTCTCTCAGAAACAAATAAACATTAAAAAGAAAAAAGGAGCACAGTGGGGTCCTCTGCCTCCCTTTAAAGGGCCCTTCTTGGAGTTACACACAACATTTTAGCTTATAGACCTTCAGACAGAATTTGTCACATAGCCCCACCCGGCAACAAGGAATTCCGAAGAATGTAGTTTTTATTCCAGCACCCGTGTGTCCAGATAGAATCAGGGTCTTTTTGCTAAGGAAGAAGGTGGAGAAAATAGGGGAAAATAGGCCATCTCTGCCCGGTCAGGCCTTTATCACGTAGGTTGCTGGAATAATGCACATAAAACTCCCAACAGCGTCTACACTGTATCAGGGCAGAGCCGGCTCTCACCTGCTCTCTCTACTAGAAAATAGGACTGTCATCTGGAAGGATCTCTTCTCCATTATAGGCCAGTGCCTCCAAATCTCTTCCGCCTGACTTGCTTGGCCCGGGCCAGAGGCGTGAGACCAGCCGGCCGAGAGGCGGAAAGTAGTGAAATTCGGGGACAAAGTGGCATTTTTATGCACGTAGTCAGCTGGCAGTGGGGATTTACCATGTGTCGGACACCATGGATAATTTAGTGTCTCTAGAAATTTAGGCTTAAATCAAGTGAAGTAATAATGTTTGCTTTTGGGTAATGTACATTGCTGTGGGAGAGTCCCCAGAATATTATATGCAGTTAAAAAAAAAAAAAAACCAGAGAGCGGGCGGGGGACCGGAGAAAAATTAAAACAAAAAACAAAAAACTCGGGGCGCCTGGGTGGCGCCGTCGGTTGAGCGTCCGACTTCAGCCAGGTCACCATCTCGCGGTCCGGGATTTCGAGCCCCGCGTCGGGCTCTGGGCTGACGGCTCAGAGCCTGGAGCCTGTTTCCGATTCTGTGTCTCCCTCTCTCTCTGCCCCTCCCCCGTTCATGCTCTGTCTCTCTCGGTCCCCAAAATAAATAAACGTTGAAAAAAAAAATTACAAAAACCCAAAACAAACCAAAACGCACCACCCCGCAGGGGCACCTGGGTAGCTCAGTTGGTTAAGCGTCTGATTCTTGGTTTTGGCTCAGGTCAGGATCTCAAGGTTCATGAGTCTGAGCCCTGCATTGGGCTCTGAGCTGAGCCTGCTTGGGATTCTCTCTCCCTCTCTCTCTGCTCCTCCTCCGCTCTCTCTCTCTCAAAATGAACTTAAAACAACACACTTATATTAGCGTTCAAGTAATGGCATCCAGGCCACGGCCAGGTGGGGCGGCTGGGGCAGGAGGAGGAAGCTTGTGCTTCTTGCCCTGGGCTGCCTTTCAGGCTTGGGGCAAACCCCAGGGGACCCAGCTATGCCTTGTGCCAGCTGGACAAAGAACACAGCGGCTCGGGTCATGGGAGGCCGGGCACAGGGAGAGCGTCCCTCTGCCAGGCTCTCATGAAAGAGCCCTCCCCCGGGGTTATGCACCCGTAAGCCAACTGACATCTCAGATATCTCAGATGTGGACCCTTGGCAAGCAAAACGTTGCTGTAAGTGATTTCTCCATTTTTCGAGATCACGGGGCTGTGCTCTGCTGTCTCTCAGCTGTGTGGGTATGGCTTCTCCTTTACTCTTGGCACAGGGCCTCGGGGGCAGATCTGCTGGGCAGCCTGACCCCGGGGGGTGGACCCCCCCCCTGGGTTCCAGAACCCCCTGGGTTCTGGTTCCAGCTCCGGGCCTCAGTCTCCCCACCTGCATCATGGAAGGGCGGGGCCGTGCCGCCCGGTTCTTCCTGCTGAGGCCGCGCAGACACTGGCCGGCCTGTCACTAGGATCAGAGTCACTAGGTTCAGAGACAGATCCACTGGCCAGGTTCGCTGCGGGGTGGCCAGTCGCCTCCCCTTAATCCCTTCTTACTAACCTCCCTCCAACTCCGAAGAACACACTTCCTTCCCCACCGCCAGTTCCCGGGGTCTGGGTCTCCACACACCTGAGGACGGCACGGCAGGACAGAGGGGGACCCCACTGGAGCTTGGTGAGTCAGGGGGGCCCGGAGGGCGTGGAGGGGGAGGAGGGACGGATCACAGAGATCCCACAGGGCCGGAGCGCGGAGTGAGGCTGGGCCACCCAGTCTGTGAAGCGGGCGGCCCACGCCCCGTGGCCAGCTCAGGGTGTAGACGGCTCCTTGCCACCAGGAGGGAGAGACGTCCTTCTCCAGCAGGGGCACAGCTGGGCGGCCCAGGCCTCAGGAAGCGTCCTCCGCTCTGTGGCCATAACCGCTGATGCACGGACACGGACGGGGCAAGGGGATGATAAGGACGAAACGACACTTCTGAAAAAGCGAGCTGAGGGCACGAGCCGCCCCCCTCCTGCCGCGCAGGGTGGGGGAGAAGGCATTTGGGAGTAGGGAGGCCACCTGACGGCTTCGCGGTCGTAAATCGTAAGCTCCAAGCTCCTAAGCCTCTTAGATCTGCAGCACGGTGTAGGATAACGTCAAGGTCCTCACGGGCTTGTGGATGTGTCTGTGACGGCCTGGTTAGGGCAGGGTGGGCCCGGGGGTCTCCCCACACCCTGACCTGCGTGTGCACGCTCTTCTGGCTCGCCCTCCTCCCTCATGCGCACACCCTCCTCCCCTTGGTCCTGCCGCCTCCCTCTCCTCTCCTCTCCTCCTGCAGACTCTCTGATGCCACCTGTCCCCCCTCAGGTCAAATTCCCTTCTTCCCCGACTTTCCAGCCCAGAACCCTGGGGCCACGGCCAGCCTCCCCTCCTCCCAGGGATATAATGGCTACATTATGCAGCCTCTACCTGCGCTCACCTCCTCCCGTGCAGCTAGGAACGTCCCTCAGCCTCACTGC